CAAATATCTAGGAGTAGATTTCCCTATATTGATTCTGATTTTAATTTTTGTATATCTTTAATGTATAACTATTGTACAAAATAATGGATTTCCTTCTGACACTTTAACATATGCATGTCACTTACTGTGGCCAAGGCCAGCTAATCCACCTTGTTCCCCTTCTCGGTCATTTTCTTCTTCCCAAATAGTCATTGTTCTCCTTTATGTCTTTTCTAAGAGAGAGATTCTATATATGAGGAGAAATGTCTTTCTGTGTTTGACATATTTCATTTAATATGACGAACTCCAGTTTCACTCATTTTCTAGCAAATGACTAGATTTTGTTCTTTTGTGTCTGAATAATGCTTAGTGTATGCATGTGTGTGTGTGCGTGTGTGCGTGTGTGCACCGAATTTCTTCTATTTTATCCATTTATTTGTAGATAACTAAACTCATTCCATAACATGGATAGTATCACAATAAGCAGCATTATTATATCCTGATTTCCTCGGGTATACACCCAGGAGTATACCCAAATCGTGTGCCTGAAGAATGTCACGGTTGGGTTGTATGGTAGTTCTGTTTTTATGTTTGTGAAGAACTTTCATACTGTTTTCTTATGTGGCATACTATTTTGCACTCTTGTCAACAGTGTGTAAGAGGGATCTAATTTTCTTATGTTATTCTAAACATACATTGTTTCATATTTGTTTTGGAATTGCCACTCTGACGTATAAGAGGTAATATTCCAGTGTGATTTGGATTTGCACTTCAATAATGGCTTGTGATATTGAACATTTTTCATACATACATTGGCCCTTTATATCTTCTTTTGCAATGTGGAAATTTGTTGTTGCTGCTGTTATTGTTTTGCTTGCTGTTAGGTTGGAGGAGTGTCTCCTGTTGTTTTACGTTTTAACTTTTTATTGGCTAAACCATTTGAAAGTAATTTCTCCTTCTGTGGTTTGCCTTCCTTTTCCATTTGTTTGTTTGCCACATAAATAGATTTATTTTGATATACTACCACTTGTTTATTTAGATTTTGTTGAATTTTTGGAGTCTGTCGTATTATGAGAGCATTACCCAAGCTAGCATTAGAAAAATGTTCCACTAGAACTGAGGACATGGGTCAGCAGGTAGGAGCACTTGATGCTCAAGCATAAGAAACTTAGATGAGAAGTTTAGATCATCAGCACCCACACAGAAAGCCAGACATGGTAACATGTGCTTTGTAATTCTAGTATAGGCAGGCAGAGCAAGGAAGATCCTTGGGAGCTCACTGCTCACTCACCTTCAAGCTCCATTCAGTTTCAGTGAGAAATTCACTCTCAAAAAATAGGGTGGAGAGCAATAGAGGAAGACAACCAGTGTCAACCTCTGGCTTCACACATTCATGCACAGCTGTTTCCACCCTCATACATGCGTGTGTGCTGACACATATACAGACACAAAGACATACACTGAGAAGACAACTGTTTTTCTATATTTTCTTCTAGAAGTTTTACAAGTTAATGTCTGCCTTTTAAATCTATAATCTGTTTGAGTTTCTTTTTGTATGGTGTAAGAGAACAGTGCAATTTAACTTTCTGCATGTGTATATCCAATTTTCCCATACTATTTGTTTAACCTACAATACTTTCCCAGTTCTGCAGGTTGAGCCCTTGTCAAACACCAGTTGATTGTGTATACATTTTTGGTGCACTCACTATTTTGTTCCATTTGCTTATGCCCATCTTTATTCCAACATCACAGTTGTTTTCTAGGACTGTGAAATATATTTTGATAACATAGGGGTGGTCTCTCCAGCCTTTTATTCTTTCTCAAGGTTGATTTTTTTCCTTCATGGTCTTTTGTGATTTTATAAGTTTTACATTATTTTCTTCTATTTGTATACAATGCCAATGACATTTTCAATGCAGTGGAGTTGCATTGGATTTGTAGATTGTTGTAGGCAATATGGACAATTTAACAATGTTAAATATTTCAGTCTTTGGACACATAATGTCTCGCCATTTGTGAGCATCTTTTTATTTTCTTAGACTCGTGTATTACAATTTTAATATGTGAGCTTTTCACATTCTTAGTTAAGTTCTATGAATTTTTTTCTTTTTGGTGTATTTTAAGTGACACTTTTCCTCCAATTTTTTCAGCTATCTCATTGTTAAAAATCTAAAATAATCATTGATTTGTGTGTTGTGTTAATACTGCAAGACTGGAGTGGTAGCTGTAATGATAAAGCACTCACTGTGCAGACATCAGGACCAGCATTTGATCCTCAGAACCCATACTGAACAACAAAACAACAAAGCCCACAGGGTGATGTATGCATGTAATCCCACTACTGGGGACATAGAAAGAGCTAGATAGACTCCTAAGACTCGATGCCAGCTAGCCTAGTCTAATCTGAAAGTTTCAGGCCACATGAGAGACTTTGTGTCAAAAAAAACCAAAGTGGACAGCACTGCAACTTTATTGAATTTTGTATTTCTTTTTGTGGAAATCTTTTGTTTATTTTTCTTGCTTAATTGCTATGGTGACAACCTCCAGCAGTATAAGAGATAGAAATGGTGATAGTGAGACTGCTTTCCCTTTTCTGGTCTCACTATTTCTCACCTCTGAATGTGTAGCCAGCTCTGTGTTCTTTATATGGGGCCCTTGTTAAAATTGGGTGCTATCTTCCTTTTCTTACTTTGTTCAGAATTTTTAACCATAAGAGAGTGCTAAACTTTGGCAAATGCCTTTCCCAAACACATTGGGTTAGTATATTAGTTTTATACATATTCTTCTTAATATACTGTCTCACATGTTGAGCCATCCATGTATCCCAAGAATGACTGCAATTACCTATTGCACTGTAATTAAATTATTTAATTCAGTTTTCTAATATTTTATTGAAGTAATCTTAAGGTATCTTTTTCAGAGTAATGCTGGTCTTATGTAATGAATTTGGTAGTATTCCTTCCTCTTCATTATTTTTTTTGGGAAGAAGAGAATTGGTATTAACTCCTCATTAAATTTCTTGAAATCTGTAAAAATCAATCAGTAAAACCATCTGGTCCTGGCTTTTTCTCAGGTGAGTGTGTAATTTTTAATTTAAACTCTACATCAGTCCAAGGACTATTCAGATTTTTTATTAATTCCCAACTTAGCTTCGGTAGGTTGAATGTTTTGAGGAATTTACTCATGTTTTCAAATTATTCAGTTTGTTTGTGTCTAATTTTTCCTAGTAGTCGCTTACATTCTTTCTCATTTTGTGTCCCGAAGAGTTTGCTGATTTTACCTACCTTTACAAAACACCAGCTCAGCTTATGAACTCTCTTTGCCCCTGTTAAAAAAAAGGTATGTGTACAGGTCTTGAAGTGACTGACCTGAAAGGGACTATGTACTATGTAGACCTGCCTGGTTTCAAACTTACCAGACCATGTTGGCCTTGAAATCACAGAGACCTGCCTGCCTCTGCCTCTTGAGTGCTGAAATTAGAGTTGTCATATTTGAGTTCATGTGCTTCCTTCTCTCCATTCCCTACCTGTCTCCTCCTTTCTCTCTCATGTTTTGTCTTCTAACTGATTACATCGACTTTTGAGCCCTTCCAATGAGGTTTATTTTAGCTCCTAGTTTTCCAACCGGACAATTTCAATTTGGCTATTCTTTCATAATTCTTCTTTTTTTCTTCTCTTCTCCTCTTTCTCTTCTCCTCCTCCTCCTCCTTGACCTTCTCCTCCTCCTCCTTTTCTTCTCTGTCTCTCTCTCTGTCTCTCTGTCTCTGTCTCTCTGTGTCTCTGTCTCATCATTTCCATGTTCCCAATATATCATATTTCTATTTTTTCTCTATTTCTTTGGAATTTGTTTGTCTGCTGAACATAAGCACAGTAATGCATGCTTACAAACGAAGCAGCAAAATGGACAGAGGCTGGAGAAGGCTTGCACTCAGAAATGAGTCCCTTTACTGAGTCTCCCTTATGTCTTGCTTTTTTCTGGGAGACAAGGTTGTTTTGAGCCTGCAGAGTTCTTTGTTGAGCTCCACTCTCACCTTTCAAGCCTTATTTGGATGCTGCCTCCTGAGTGTGGCTTTCCTGAGGACCTTGCCAGTTCCAGCCCACCTCCCCCAACACCCACATCTACAAAAGGGAAGAGGAGTGGCAAATAAGCTTCAACTCAGTGTTTCTAAACACATTCATGCAACTATTCTGAACTATTCATGCAACCTCAGAAAGGCCTTAGTCAATAATCAATAGTTGAACCTGCATTCTGTTCTTAGGAAAAAGTCGCTTTTACTAAAAATCCTTACAATTTTTAAGGACTGGTGTGTTTTAGTAAGACCACATGAGTCTGGGACTTCTTAGGGAGGATAGCAGTACCTTCTTCATTGAACTGTCCTGAGAACTGTGGAACAACACAAAAGAAACTCTTTGTTCAGGGTGCAGCATTAGCACCTTACACTCACAGCTTCTGGGATTTAGCTGCTGTTGTCAGCTTTCCAGTGTCAAATGACAATGTACATCCAGGAGAGACCAACTTTCTGGAACTTGCATGGTTTCAAAGAGCTAACGCTCCTTATATTTCTATGGAATGATAACTAGCACATTTAAAAATATTTCCAAGAAAACCTAAGTTTGTCTCCTCCGAGGCAGCTCCTGGGATTGCTGACTACTCTCCTCATCCTAAATCTTTCCTCTGTGGAACTCAATCTTTCTCCTCACCTTTCTTCTGCCATTTTATCTGCTTTGCATAACTGCTCCTCTCTGTCATAACTGCAGGAGCACTGTCATCTAGCTGGTCTTGGGAGACTACTAGCAACTGAGTCGAAGGTCAGCCTCCTCTATCTTTAATCACCTGGGTCCCAGGGATCCCTAATGAAACCAAAAAGGATCAAAAAGATCTGGGTGCAATGAGTGGATTCCTCTCTAAAAAGAGAAATCTCCATTCTTTGTTTCTTCTTCCCTTTCTGGGACAAGTGAATCCCTGGCTCCCTCCCTGGCCCCAGGCCCTGCTGAGAGACTTCACCAGTTAAAATTCAAATGTACATACACAAAAAAGAAGAGGTTTAATTTATTGATTGCTTTTTTGGCAAAGGTTATATAGAATGTTATTAGGATGAAAATAAAATTCTAGTTACAGATTCATAAAACTTTAAGCCAAATTAGCTTTTATGAGACCATTAAATCCTGCCTCACCCTCATCCATAGCAAGGTAGTAGTTCCATCATAGCCTATATAATCTTTTGTTGTTTTAAAATGATTAAAGCATACAAAATACACAATGTAGATGATATTAGATATCTTGAGGAATGAGAAACCAATAGAATCTCTTTCAGTCCTTCAGCTCGGACTTCCTGTTTGGAAATGTCTGTTTGGATATGTCTGAACTAGCCACCCTTATCTGCCATTTGCTTGTATACGCACATCATAAGTCTCTCAAAATAACATTTGAAATCTTTCTTAATATTGCTTCAGAAGTGTTGACCTTTAAGGAACATTCAATTTTAAAAAAATAAAAGCTTGTCCTTGACTTGGTAACATCTGTCCACGTGTGATAAGACTGTGTTTCACTCTGACCTGACAAAAGTCTCTAGCAACATATGATGGCCCGTTTCTTCTTTGCCTGACTCAGAGGCTATCATATAAAATAGAGAAAGAAAACATGTTTGAAATCACAGCAACCAAAGGACTTTGAATTCCTAATTACATTAAATAACTATAACTTTTTGCTTATTCACATTCCACACGGTGGAAACTAGCCTTTCCTCCAGGTTTTTCACTTTGAAGAGTACAGTTGCAAATAAGCACTCAGACTGACATGGTGTGTTGTTTTCCTCTTTCTGTGCCAAGTACAAATTGAATGCCGTAAGATTCATGTTTGGTTTCTGGCATTATTTTAATAGGTAAGATGGAGATCGCAACTAATCTTGCCAAAGAATAGTTCTACTACAATGTTGGAGAAAATGTGCACCATTATATCACTGGCGCATCCAAAATAAGCGACAGACAGGGCATCTTCAATAAACGATAAGGGACACATATTTTTGATGATCTCGGTCTAGGCACAGCAAGGAAGGCAGATATCCCCATCTTTGGCCAGCGATATGCTTTTAGGATACTTATGCTGCTGATTGTTTCAAAGAAGTTAATTTTGAGGCAATCCTATTGACATGAACCAAATGTAAATCCAATGTACTTACTACCCCCCAAACTCTGCCTTTGCATTTGTGGGCCTAATCAAATCCATCCTGTGAGTTATTGGCTATGAATATGGAAGATGCAAAGATTCAGGGAAGGAGCACACGGTACAAATGAAACTCACAGAATTTGCCATGCTGGTGCAAATTCAGTTTGTGTGGGATCATCAGTAGTGACTTTTAAACTTTCAAAATTAGACCCACCGTTTTGGGAATTCAAGATAGCTTCTGCATTACAATAAATTTCCTGGTTAGATGTCACATAGAAGTGGACTAGACCAAAATAAAACGTTTCTTTACTTCTGATGGTTCTTTGACTGTGGTATCTTCGATGGGCAGTGAATGTCTGCCTTCCAAATGACATATCACTTGCCTAGTCACTCTGAGAGGAAAAGATAAAAAAGGATTTGGGGTATTTATAGCTAGAATCTCAGTCTTAAGGAGTATTGTTTAGCCAAACAAACCAAAACCTACCAAGGCCCATCCACCTTTCACTCTGGCCCTTACATGAATGCTAAGTAGACATTTGGGGAGCCACGTGTATTCAGAGGACAATATCCATAGTAGGCATAATGATTACAGTGCCACATAGAGCCACTGGGGTAGGTAGCCTGTTAATATACCCTAGTGCTCTGGTTTCCTAACTGAGTTTCCTATTGACCCTCTGAGAGCAAATGAAGTAGAGGCAAATAAAGCCCTTACTTCTCTATACACTACCTAGCCAGGTGCAATCAGCCAATCTCCTCTCTCTCTCTCTCTCTCTCTCTCTCTCTCTCTCTCTCTCTCTCTCTCTCATCTATGATTCTCTCCTATAACAAACACCAAACAGAAAGGGCCCTAGACACGTCTAACTCAAACACAGCAGATAGCTCTCTCATCTTACACTGTTCCTTATTGGCAGGTGGCCTCAACAAAAGAACAAAAGCAGGATTTTGTTGAAAAGTTCTGCATCTTTGAAGCGTTTTTCAGGAATGACAGAAAAGCAATGTTAATCCAGCAAAACTAAGCTTAGGGGATTTTGTCTTTTCTTACCCCAGTGAACAAGGCTCTCGGTTGTCCTCCTAAGAGGCAAAGTAAAGCAGGAGGACACATCTTTTTTCTTTCATTTGGGTTTTAAAACAGGAGTGGTCAATATTTCACCCTTAACTTTGGGTTACAGCTAGCATCAGTAGGTCACAGAAGCTGGCACAGAGAATTGGATTTTTTGCTGACTATATTTCTCCTCTGTGCATCTAGGTTCTTTTAAATACCAAGAAAGCCCCTTTACTAAAACAAGGCTCATATTGTTTGCAGAAACAACTTTTAGACTCTGGACATCTTGCTACTGAATTTCACTGTCCCAGACTGGTCCTCAGCCTCAGTGCTCCTGTGTCAATCCTCTGTCCTGTGTGCCTTCATCACATGTCTCCCCACATTCTGAAGGTTCTTCAGAAGACGAACGACATTTACACCCAAGGTCAAGTTAATTAATTTAGGAACATGGGCTAAGACTGAGATGTCAGGGAGAGCAAAGAAAGGAATGGGTTGTGGGCGAGCACTGAACAGTTCCGAGTCTAATGCAGCCCTCAGAGTTACCTCCTCCGTTAGTATTCATTCTCAAGTGAAATCCTGGTGCCCAGGAGGCACATGAAACACAATGACAAAGCCAACGACAGCCCTGCCCCTGTGGGTGTTTGGGTCCAGTGGTGTGGGCATTTCTGACCATCTGAAGCGGAGGTTGTTTCCGCTGGTGTTTTTGAAACACTCACAGGTACCCATGCACACTCATGCGCGTACACTATGCATAAGCAGCCTCCAGCCAGGAAGCAACTGCTGGTTCTTCTGGCCTCTATCTTTAAGCCAAGTAGGAATCGGGTGGTTTGGGTGTGGCTCTCGGCATGGCTATGACAGGCTGAATGTGCCCCCTTTGACTTAATCCAAGTCGATGGATATGCAACGACACTGCTTCACACGCGTGACCCTTTTCTTTTTGGTGGGTGGCTGTAGCTCAGGACAGTTGAGTGTGACCATCATGGTAGTGAACTTCTTGGGCTTGCAGAAGGAGCAAGACTGAAAGGAGCCTTCCTCCTTTCGGATGTGCCTGGGGATGTAGAAGGAGTTGCACTGACCATAGCAGAAGCGGTTGATGATAGTGCGGCTGTTGCAGCCCTCCTCGTGGATGGTCTGCTTCAGGGGTTGAGTTTTGCACCAATCTCGCTTCAGGTACTTGCGCTCTGTTACATGCAGGGCCTCTTGGCTGGACTCAAGTACCTCCTCTCCAGGCATGGCAGTGCCCCGCCCCTGGCCCCGCCCCCGGGTCCTGGAGCCCGGTTGGGGTGGGGACTGGGTCTGCTCAGAGTCATTGTGCTGAGCCTTGTCAGGAGGCGGGATGGCTCCCTGGGACCCCTTCTTTTTCCCTTCAGCTGCTGGCAGTAGGGTCCCCAGGAGGAGAAGCAAAGCTCCCACAGTGTATGCGGTGCGATTCATTCTAGACAAGGAACAAAGACAGGGGGAGACACAGACAATAAGAAAGTTACTTAATAAAAATTAATAATTGCACCTAACATCTTCTACTGTACTCACCTCACACTTCAGTTGCACTGACTTCTAACCGTATCACTGGCGATTAGATACTATTATTCCCATTACTCTCTCAGCCATCAAACTGAGTCATTCGACACAGATCACACAGTGAATTTGCCAAGCTTTAAACTCAGTCAGGACCCGTCTCTTTTTTTGAACCAGCTCCCATTAGAATTCCTTACTGGCTCCTGACACAATTGCATGTGACTGTTTTTAATGCTCACTTAACTGTATTTATTCTTGAATTTGACAACATGAGACTTTTCACTGTTCCAGTATTGGAAAGAGACTAAGAAACCTGGTTGTTTTTTTTTTAAAAAAAAAAAAAAAAAAAAAAAAAAAAAAAAAAAAAAAAAGAACCTAAGAGGAGGGATGTCCAGAAGGCCAAGAGGATAAAGATGACTGATATCATTCTTTCTGTCATGATATAACACCGTATGTGAGGGCAGGGCAGAATCCCTAGAGCTGGAGTTACAGGCAGTTGTGTGACGCCAATGTGAGTGCTGGCAACGGAACTCAGGTCCTTGGGAAGAACAGAAAGTATTCTTAACTGATGAGTCATCTCTCCAGACCCCACTTTTCAACTTTTTTTATGTGGTAAAATATGTTACCATCTATGTACCTATATGTCTGAATAGAATTTTTTGTCTAATTGATTGACCAGGCCTTTAATTTCTTTGGCTTTAATTTTGAAGTTGGTATACAAAATTAGTTTCATTATGGATTTTAATACATATTCGTTCCTGCACCTTGTTCACATTTGCCTCCCTGACCCCCACTGCTTTACTGTGTCCTTTTCCCAAATACTCTTCCTGGTTTCACATCACATGTGTATTGTCTGTATGTGGTTACTTCTAAAATATATAAAAATAAATGGGTAAATTAAGGTAGAAAAATTGGCACAGTAGAATAAATACATGAATATTTCAATTTGTAAGAATAGGACTGATGCCAATGAATTGTGAGCAATCTGAACCTTGATATGAATCATACCTGGCAGGAGCATATAGCATGTAATAAATAGGTAAACAAGTAAATAAATAAATAAATAAATAAATAAAATGAGCATGGAGGGGGTAGGAGAAGAAACAGAGAGAGACAGGAGCATGGGGTGAACAAAGCAAATCAAAGAAGAGGGGCCTCTTCCAGAGGCAGGGTTGTTCAGAAAAGACAGGGCAGACAGGCAGAGAAGGGAAAGAGAGGCAGCAGACTGTCAAGATTCTCCTGGGGCAGTCTCTCTGGACACAGCCATCTGGGAAACTGTTAATATGGAGACCCTGATTCAGTCAGCCTTCCCACCCAGCTCAAGGCACTTGCTGGTCTGGGGCACACCAAGAGTTATTAAAGCACTGAAGGATTTCTTTTCAATGCAAACAGTTTCAAATTCATAGTGTCTCTTCCAGGCATGGCAGTGCCCTGGGTTTTCCTCTGCCCCATGCTTATGGTTAGCTGCACAAGAACAGCTATGAAGCATCCATTTTCTCTAAGCTGAAAACCAGTATTGCATGTGGCAACCACTAAGTGCATATTAATACAACCTTATTTAATATAACATTTGTCTCCAAGGAAGCAGACAAGTTGGTATCATTATCTAGACCAATTATCTTTAAGAGACAAAAGCAGCATAAGATGTATCTTCTTTAAAGGACAACTTCTGGCAAGTGAGGACCATTCAACCCTAAGGCTAGCATCGAACCCAGATAATTGAGTGTTTCATTAAAAATATTCTTAAATGTCATCATTTTTCCGACATTAACTTAATACTTTGGAGCAGGTTCAAGTTTGGAGCTGATAATGTGACATTCAACTCCTGTTCTGACTGTAGGTTCCTTTGCTTGTGTCAGCTTGTGTTACCATATATCTGATCTTTAAACAAAACCATGCTGACCACTACAACAACAATAACAAAAAATAATGGCTTTGTTTTGTCTTATAAAACATCACTTATGAAAATAGGCCAGTTATAAAATAGTACAGATTTCCTCCAGAGGCCAAAGTAACTTAAGCCATGACCATTCTGTCTCCAAGGAGCTATAATGCAAATCTCAGACATTTTCACAAGTTTCTGGTGACTCCCAATTGAAGGCCAGAGTCTAAAATAAAAGGCCGCTAAAATAAAGTCCACTCACTGCTGTTTCAAAGGAATATGGCATAGATAGCCCTAGATCTAGGTTGACAATCTCCCTCCACATCCACTAAAAAATAACCTCTAAGCCAGTTCAGTCCTTTTGGGTCCAGAGCCTCAGTGTCCACAACCACAGAGGTCAACCTGAGGCTGACTGTGGTTGTATGTTGACTGGATGTGACAGTATATGTCATAGGGCCATGGTGTTCTATAGACATCCATTTACAAGGCTGCAATTTTCCAGGCCAATTCGGGACTCCTTATTTATTGAACTTTTCTTTCCTGGTTTATTTACATCTGTTATTGAACCTTGTTATATCTACATTGAGAATTGATGAGGGCTAATTCATCATCTGACCCTTTGTTCCTGACACAGACGAGGTGTTCCTGAACATTTTTTAAGTGATTGTTATTATACCACATAAATTTGATACAGTTTCTGTTCTTTGCATTTTAAAGTACCATCACTGATGTCAAGGTGCCAGCTACATAAAGCTCTTTTGCCTCCTGACCCTTAGCAGTGTGGATTTCTTCCAGTCTAGATGGCTTTCTAAAACTTGTCTTTCTTTTTCTAGGAAATTTCTACTTGCTTTCAAGTTTTGTTATTGTTGTTTGTTTGTTTGTTTGTTTTTTAGCATTTTTTGTTTTTATTTTTTTGGTTTCATGCAGGATAGTATGAGTTTTATTTTATCCCAATTATAAAGCAATAAATTCATAATTAGTCGACTATGGTTTTGAGGTTTAATTTGAGAAAAACTTTCTTTTCCTATGCAAGAGTGAGTACCTTATAAGTCATAACAGTTTACATTATACCAGTCTGATTTTTCACTAAAGAAAAGTAAGAATAAGTAAGTAAATAAATAAATAAAATATTAAAAAAAATACTAGGTGTAAAAAAGTACAAGTTTTTTTTTCCATTTTAAAAGGCTTAATCTTTGCTGGTTTATTGTGAGAATTTCAAGTTCCTAAACTTTAATGTTACAAAGAAAAGCCCTCCAAGAACATCAACGAACAAAAATCAACAGGTCAGTTTACTGGCTTGAGTAGAAAGGCCAGCGTGCTTCTGATGGTCTCCTTGAAGAAGAGTGAGGTGAACAGCACTGGACGGCTGAAGCCAGGCTCTGCCGGTCACTGTGTCCACTCATCCAAGCCCCCTACCAATTAGTGTTGATTATTCAGTCGAGGAACTGGAGATTTTTCTTCTTGAAATTGAAACTCTGTTTTCACCAAATACTTAGTGCTCTCTGTGTATCACTGGGATGGGGCAAATAAAGAAGATGGTATTTCCTTCCAGATAATTCTTTCCACATCACCCCTAGCAGTGTGCTACATAGCTCAAAATCAATCCAAATACTGGTCCAGATTTAGGTTCTTATGACTTCCCACTCACATCCAATCATTGCATTCAGATGCATCCCGAACTCAGAGTGCATCATGACATGTAGCAAGCATCTTCCTTGGTTCCCCTATTCAGATACTCTCGTTCTCCATCCCAAACCCTGCCTTAACATCCCCTTAGTAAATTTCTGCTGTTGAGTGGTATGCTAATATTTAACGGTGAGCTCTCTCTGCAGCTCTTCTCTGCTGACAAACTTTACCCTCCTGTCTTTTTCATTTTGCCATTACCTGCCTCCAATCACTTGTCTCAAAGGACATACCCTCAAAACAAATCTTCATTGCCTCCCATTTGTCCCCAGTTCTCTTTGTGTCCAAGAATAAACACTTTCAAGCAAGGAAAGTCATGTTAATCACTTCTGCCCTGATAACCTGTCAAAAATTTCACAAAAGCTCCAAGAATGGTCTTCGGAGTCTGGAGATTTAGAAACCCAAAAAGTATGTCTGACTTGTTTCCAATAGTCTTGATGTATTTGGGGAGTCTAGGGATAGCTCCTTTCCACACACTTCTCATTATGCCTCTCACATTAGCCAAGCAACCTGCTCATTCAATGAATTCAACAGAGTTTTGAGTAAGAATTACAGTGAACTCCAGATGTCTGTACCTGAACCAGGCCATTGTTCCTGCTGAACGACCTTTAGAAAGAGAGGCAACAAGAATGACATGAGCTCATTCTCCTGGCGCAAAACACAATGGAATTTGCTGCAAATGCTTTATAGATGGGCCAGATTTTAAAAGGATCCATTTCTTTCCCCCTTAAGCCTTAATCTTTAAGGAGAATGAAAGTTAATTTTAGTTAGATCTTTAACTTTTAGAATCACCCTTTAGAAATTAACTAGGGAATTCCTTAATAATAATAAAGGTTGGTTTATTTCTCAGACAAACTATACTAAGGAGATAAGAAAAATTAATGATTGGCACACATCATAAATTTTATGCCCTGCATATTTGTTGCAAGTCTCTTAAGAATAATCTGCACATTAGGGCTAAGTCAGGCTGGAATCCAACACCACACAAGGTGAGGAGGAGACACCTGGTGGTTAAATATCTTTGTAGTTCCCTGGAAGATTTATTTTTTAGTGAAGTAATAATTGTATACAATTATTTGAACCAACAGGAAATTAATTAGAAAGTATAAATATCAAATGCTCAACAAGCAGCACTACTGAGTGACAACCAAGTTATGTGCTGTGTTTTGTAACAGTTATGAATAAATGGGATTTGGAATTAAATTCAGAATCACCCTCTGGTCTCTCATGCCCAACACAGCCACTAGTAACAAAAGGTACCTCTTGGTTTTTAGCTTCAACTACATCAGACATTATGCTAAATACTGTCCAAGTTTTGTCATGATAAATTATAAGGTATAGAATAATGTCTTCCTGTTACTAATCAGGAATCCATCCAAGGTCACATAGTTTATAAAGTGGATAGCCAGGGTCTGAGCCCAGACCCATCTAATTCTAACATGTTCTTAGTCACTATGCCAATGACATTCAGCACAGCATATTTAACAAGGAACATGTGGCTTTGCTTTTTAATGCGGTAAAATTTTGAAAAATATTGTAAATCTAATAATTATCTATTTTGTATCTTCATGTTTGCATGCAAAGGAAAAGACTTCTGTCACGAGAATTCCTGTTGTAGTTTGCATTTCTAAGAACATATGTTAAAAACTAAAGAAAATTCTTTGCAGATGTAAGACATGGGATGGTAGCACTTGCCTGGTCAGTGCCTTTCAGTTAAATGTGCAGTCACCACTCCTAACTGCCTCCTTCTTCTCCTCTTTACAGAAAAGGCTTGACTTTTTCTATATATCTTTGGCTTTGCATTCTCAAACATGCTCCAAAGTTTTGCTGCCAGCAAGCATTTCTTGGGGAGAAGTCTGGGGCCATGGGGGTTCTTTGTATTCTGTCACTTTGTAGACTGGACCATTGAGACTGAAGTCACCAACAGCATCAATTTAGAAGGACAAGAGGTGGACATTGAAGGATGGAAGGACTTAACGTGTTTCTGTTCTTCTCTCTCTAAGCAATGGTGTGAAAAGCACATTAGCCAATTTGGATTTCTTACAGATTTTGGGTTAACAAAACATTTTACTCAAAATGAACTTTGAAGGACATAGAAAAGCTGTGAAATTACAAAGTTTACAAAAGACTCTAATTCCTACAATGACCTGGGGGTTAAACACACACACACACACACACACACAGAGAGAGAGAGAGAGAGAGAGAGAGAGAGAGAGAGAGAGAGAGAGAGAGAGCCTTAAGTAATTAGTAACTTCTTATAAATCCAATGGTGCAATGTGTCCAAGGAGAATAATGAAAACACCTATATCTGTAGACTTGGATGGGGTGATGGTGAAGGAGGCTCTTGTTTTCTTAAGATCTTTTTCTTTGCTTTGCTTTGCTTTGAAAAGTCTGTACTCCCAAGTGCCCTGTGCCGCCTACCTTGTCCCAAAAAGAAAAAGGGGAGGGGGTGAGGAGAGGGCAGCTCTGGGGTGAAAGAAGACCCCTCACCCTGGGATGGGGTTATCTTAACCTCTTCTACGCTATTTATTTAACTTGTAAGAGCAGTCAGAAGGAAACCACTACTCTGGAGTCCCTGGGACAGCTTAAAGCCCTGGTGACCCATTGAACACAGTAGATTGTTTTAATCAGTTCGTATCCTGGCACCATCTCAGGGGAACATAAACAGTCGTGCGCACCACTTGGGTTTGCTCTTTCCACCAAGAGATCCAATTACCTACTGATGGTCGTCATTCTGCCCTCCAACAGTTAAGAGGAGATTTTAACCCCTCACTTCTAGGCTATATTTCTCCATCAAAGAGTAGGGATTTGGATTCTACTGAGGAGGGGGAAGACAGCTGCTGAGTTAGACCAGCGAGCCACCTTAGGCTATCACGAAGGACCTCAGAGTAAAGGCTGGTCATCCACCCTCGCTGGTGGATGATTGTCAGAGATGGGCATAGGCAAACGCTAAGCTGAAGCGCGCCAGAGAGGGAACAGCCAGTCCAGAGCTAGGAGAAGTTGTTCTTCCCAAACTAGAATTCTGGAAATAAGTAGGACCAGGGAAATGACAGCCACATCGCCTTTCCCTTCACTCTAGACTTCTACCAGGAGCTAGAGGAGCCTCCCTGGAATGGGCTAGGCAGCGATCGAGGAGCAGAGGCGAAGCGCGGTAGAGCAGAGTCGCTAGCGAGGCGCAACGAGGCGTTACTGGGGCCTGTGGGGTACAGATCGGTCAGCATCTACGGAAGTGGGAACCAGCCAGTGGTGGCTGCCCGGCGCCTGCAGGTCTGCAGTATGGAGGATGAGAGCGTGGAACCCCCAAGTGGCTCAAAAAAGACAGCCACGCGCAGGCCGGAGCACAGCTAGCACAAGAGTGTGTGACGCGTGCCGCGGGAGTACTGCGGGGCAGCGAAGCACTCAAGCTTAGAGGTACCCGATCCCCGACTCTTCGCAGTTGTCGACCCGCGCGGATTCTGTTTTCAGCCTCAGTCACATCTGCCATACCCGCAAACTCACACTCCACCAGTCTCCAAGTCTTCAGCAGTTACCACTCACAGCCCTGGGACCCTCACTCCTACAAACGTCCCAGTCCCAGCCCCGTGCCCAACCCTCTAGGCTGTCTCTGGTTGCAGCTTGCTGCGAGATCGGCTTCAGCTCAGAGGGACGCGGCTCCAGAGCTTCGACTCCAGCAACAGTGCGCTGTCCCGGCAGGCGACTCCCCGCGCGGCTCTGTGCTTCAAGCAGGGCTCCCGGGGTGCACTTTCTTGACAACCTCTCTCTCTACCTTTCCCCCGTGGACCCAGTGCCCCGAAGTCAACACATCTACCTCTGCGGCAGGAAGGACCAGGCTCAGTTCTACAAGGAGCACTCCAGGTCTTTGGTGTACCTAGGGGCTGCGTCGCAACTGAGGATTTGGCATGGTATGGACCACTGGGGACTTCTTGGCTAGCCTAGGTACCAACACACACACACACACACACACACACACCACACACACACACACACCAGAGTGCCACCGCGCTCACCTGTCACTTCCGTGGGTCCTCGGGTCCTTCGCTGTGGACGCGTGGCGCTGCGTACGACCGCGGCTCGAGCCACTTGGGCTCGACGCGGTAGGAACACGAAGGAGAGTGCCGCTACCGCGGTGCTCTGGATCTCCAGATCTGCGAAGGGCACACCGAGTGTCGGGCATCTCCGGGTCGCCGGTTTAAATGCCGCCGGCCAAGCGCCGGGGACCGCGTCTCTCCATTGGTCAGACGCCGTCGCCGCCGCAGGACCCGCTATCCACCCCCTTTCCCGGTAGTGTCCCCGCCCACTGCACCCCTCCTGCTTCCCTGCGGGGTCCCCTCTCCGCCCGCCTCGCCTCTTTGTCTACTACCCCCCTTGCTCCTGCCCGGCTGGGTGGGAGAGGTCACCCCAGGGAACCGCGACTGGAATGCACAGCAAATCACATTTTCCGCTCCTGTTGGAGAGGGGAGTGAGGGAGGAAATCCCCCAGCCCCGGCTCCCAGCCCCTCATCCCTTTCCAGTCCCAGGTCTGGGCTTCTCCTCTAGTAGGCTGAACTTCGCCTGCGTGGGTCTCCACGCTCAGGAGCCCCGGCTGCGCTGAGCAGAGCAACGAGCAGAGCGGGTCGTAACAAACTAGGTGGTTCCTCACCCTTGTGCTGAATGGCACTGTTGGACGTTCTGGTCAAGCTGTGCAGCCGCCTTAGGACCAATCCTCCGGAGGATCCCGAGTGTTAACCCAGGCGGGCTCGCCAACAGCCTGCAAGAGGATACCCTCCCCTTCTTGCCTTCCACCGGCTTCTTCAGCTCAGATGCCCATCTGCTTCAGCTGAGTGTACAGCAGAAGAATAAACTAAAAGGACCCCAACACTCAGTCAGGGCTCCCATCTGTACAAGGCCTTGAAGAGAGAAAGAACACTCGCTAGGCGATAAGGGTTTTCTGTAGCACATCATCGGAGATGAGTAGATCAGGGGAAAATATTAGATAAGGAACTATCTTCTTGAAAGCTTCAGACAAAAATTGACTTGAGGGAAAACCTACCAGCAGACTCTGTAGTCATTTCCAACAACCTGATGGACAGAATAAAACACAGCAATGGTATAAATAGTTTCCCACTGATGAGAGAACAAAGTCATGTCTTCTCTTAGCCTGAAAACCGGCTCTTCAAAGAGCCACCAGATTTGCGTACAGAAGTTGCAGTCCATGCAAAACATCAATAGGTTTATAAGGTCTAAAAATATCAGCCAGGCCAAGTCATGTCAGGAGGGAAATTTGAAAATGTCTGTGTTGCTTACAGAAAAAAAAGCCAAATCCCCTATGAAATTTTTGTGGTATGAGCACTTGACCAGGAGGGAAATAAAACCAAGCCATGAGCCAGCATGCATACATAT